ACTGAAGGCAGCCTGTTAGGGATACTTATGTTCTGTGTGGTTGGTCTAACACACAGCTTCCCTTCTGTCCTTGAGGAGGAGGCAGAAGTGCACAGTGGACCTGTGGTTGGCTGTTTTTCTTGAAGGAAGCCTTGACCTGTAGCTTCACTTCTCCATTTTGTGATTTTTGTCTTTTTACCTTGGAAAGAGAACCTCTCCTCCAGTGAACTTAAGCTATTTTGTTAAAGTTCTTAAGTCTGAAAAATAGAGATTGTTATTATTATTATTAGGAGTTCTTGGTCTGGAGGCTGTACAGCTCTGAGGTGTACTTAATGTTTTCCTCCTGATTTTGCTTTTCTTAGGATTGACTCAAGTCCCCCAGGTTCAAAAGACAGAGATTGCCTTTACTGCCTCTGAACCCAGAACTTATGAACCCTATGTGAGGAACCTTGATAATTTCTTAAGGGACTACAGTGCTGAGCTACAAACTGAAAACATCGTGTTTCAGGACTGTGGAGGTAAGTCTCAATTGTTTCCAACAGCTGAGGGCTCTGAAAGATGCCTCTGTCAGGTCCACTAGAAGCTGAAGTTGAGCAGTGGTTGTCTTGGTCTTCAGCTGTTCCAGAAGCCCATTGGTTAACTGCCTGCTCATTAATTTTGTTTGGGCAGACCACACTGTGCCATACTCAGCAGTTTATTGTAGGGTTGGGAACCTCCATGTTTCCCTTGGAGAACACTGCAGCCGACTCTGAGGCTCGTGGCACTGACCTTATTCTCTCTGAAAGCCACAGAGGTTTTACTGATGACTTTGATAAAGCCAGTGTTGGTCCTCTTCATGCCACGCAGTCAAACATGTGGGAGGTGTTAACCTTTAATAGGTTATTTGTAATCATGTGAATGAGACTCTCACCTCATAATACATCTGTATCAAATCTGAGAGGAGCCCACTTGTAAAAGCTGCCCAGAAAAAATTAGTCTCTGAGCCAGGTGACTCTGGAAGAAATCTGTTCTAAAACAAAACTCCATAAAACCTGCTGGTCTGGGGGCAGCCCACATGGGGGGTGGCTGGGTGTAGGTCTGTGGAGTGCCTTAATGGGGAAATCCCCAATTGCTCAGGGAAGTGTGACACGCAAAAGTTCCCACTGAATACGGTTGTCTTTCCCTTCCCCTGCCATGACAGATGTACCTACTGAATACAAAGAGAGAGGACCATATAATGATGCCCAGGGCCAGAAGAAGGTCTGCAAATTCAAACGTGAATGGCTGGAAAACTGTTCTGGATTAAATGATCCCACCTATGGATACAAGGATGGCAAACCATGCATCCTTGTCAAGCTCAACAGAATTATTGGCTTCAAACCTCAGGCAAGTACCTCTCTTCCCTTTCTAGCAGAAGCTACTGATCAGGAGGAGGAGTTGGCTGTAGATTTGCTGTGGCTGCTTTTTGGTCTCTGGAAAGAGATCAGTATTAAACCTTTTCTGCAGAGGATAAATTGTGAGACAACTGGAGTTATTTGCTTTGAAAATACTTTTAATTCAGAAACAGTGGGAGCTGTGCACTGCAAATTAGTAACAAGTAGCAGTGAACCTCACAGTGCAACCTCCTGGTTATTTACCTGGTAACTTCTGAGCCTGCTACTGGAGTTGCTATAAAGGGGCATTTTCTTCAAATGATAAATTCCATTTTAAATTCCTGTGTACTTCTGTGGGACCATCCCAAACCAACCCTGTCTGTAGTAACATCAATACATTTTGTCATGCCCTGATCCACTCCATACTTTTCCTCAGGCAGTGTAGTCTTGTCTGCCTTGCTAAAACTGCTTAATTGAATGATGAAATGCTAATATTAAATACCAGAGTGAAACATAGGCTCTAAAGAGTAAGCTACATTTGAAAGTCAGGCACAGCTGCAAGAAAGGTGAGAAGGTCTTTAGTTAATTTAATGTAGTTTTCCAGAAGGCTGTAGGATATATCTGCCAACTGGTTGCTCTGTCCTTCACCCAAAGGCAAGTCTGCAGTAATGCAGAACAGTGTTAATCTGGACATTCATGGCTTTTCCTTCTGTATTTTCCCCCAATGCATTAAAAGGTTAAAAATTTCAGTTTAAAATTCAGTGGCAAAACATGTGCTGTTGAGTAAGATGGTGTGCAAAACCTGCCACTCCATCTTCTGGATGGAGAACAGGGCAAATGGTGTTCTACACCACCTTCACTCCGATCTGTCAGGGCACCTGAGGATGGGAAATGGTGCTGTGCCTAACGAGTCCTGAGGAATGTTGTCCTCCAAAGGGAGCTTGTCCTGTGCTAAAAGATATGAGCAAGCTTTTGGTTTATCAGATGCATGGTGGAAACATTTTAGCAGGATGCACTGTGGTGGCTTTGGTATGTGGTGGCAGTGGGGTGACATGAGATGAGCATGTTTGATGACTGGGACAGAGAAGGGATTGGTGTTCTCCTCCTTTTTATTGCCATGGAGCTCTGGAGCCCTCCAGACCGCATTAGACAGCGGGGTCTAGTCACAAGAATGACTCTGCATGTTTCATTTAGAAACAATATATCCACGACAGTATTTACTTTTGTGGTGCCACACTCCAGCAGAGACCTGGTAGCACTGGGAAAAGATCTGAAACTGAAATGTTGTCAAGCAATACTGCCGCACTTTAAAAGACCAAAGACCAACTGGTTAGTTGTTGGACTATAAGAGTTGGCACTCACATTTCTCTGATATACCCAGAGCTTTTGTCCTTCCTTGGTGGTGGTGTTGAAGTTCAGCAGTGTCAGGGTGAGACTGCCACACTTTTTTCTTTCCTGTGCATTTCCAGTCCTGGTTGCACACACCTGGCAGGCAGGTGGCAGATCCTGCACCAGTGCAATCCTGCCACTGCCTGAGCTTGCATAAACAAGCCCCACTAGCTATAGACACTGCCATGAAACACTTTCCCTGGGGACACCATGGAACTAAACCCAGCCTGACCTGCTTGTATCCACAGCAGGTGAAGCTGGAAGAACAGCCAGCAGTTCTGCTTGGGTCAAGTTCCCCTGCTTCCAGCTGTGTTGCACTACTTGTCTGTCCCAAGAACCACTGAGAGCTGTTGTCTCTGAACAGTGCTTAGAGGGGATTCCAGTTAATGGTCTGTGTTTGGTACTGTTGATCTTTGCTGCTGAAAAGGTGCTCCAGTCTGCAGAGGAGTGTCCAGTGTGTAACATCCCCTTGTTCTGGATTTCTTCTAGGCTCCTGTCAATGAAAGCCTCCCTCCTGAGGTTATGGCAAAATACAGTCCGAATCTCATCCCTGTCCACTGCGTTGCCAAGGTAAGTTGAAAGGCGACAGAGCAGAGTTGGGAAGCCGCAGGGGATGACTAAGCCTTTGTCCAAGTGTAGCTACACCCCCTGCCTGCCTTTCCATAGACAAATGGGGTGGTTCTTCCTTGGGAAATCTCCCCCTCAGGAACAAAAGTTTCTCAAAGCCCTGCTGCTGGATGAGTTAGTGCTGCCCTCACAGTGTGGGGTAAAAGCAGGGCAAGACAGTTGAAAATATCTTCAGAAGTAGCCATTTGGCTTCCAAGTGCTGTGCTGGAGCCAATAAAAAGGCCTGCAGGGAAGGTATTTCATACTTGGCAGCTGTAAATCAGCTGAGAAACAGCAAAGTTTTTGTAGCCAAAGCCTGTGCAGTTGTACCACAGGAGGCTCTGATGGTTTCTAACCGTGGAAGGTGGCTGAGGCTTTAAATTAAGCAAAGCCCTTTTCCTGGCTGCCGTGTGCTGGGAGCTGCTGCTGTTTGTGTGCTGACCCAGCAGTGCTGCCACATCCTCTGAGGCACCGGCCGCTCTTGTGCCGTCGCGCTGGGGACCAGCACTGACCAAATGGGAGCTGAAAATCAGCTGCTGCTACAGCCAGGGGTGCCAAAGGCGGAGTCTGGGTGGTTGTCATTGGTTGTGCAACCTCCTCTTCCCCCCTGCAGCGAGAGGAAGACGTGGACAAAATCGGCACGGTGGAGTACTACGGGATGGGCGGCTACCCCGGCTTCGGGCTGCAGTACTACCCCTACTACGGGAAGCTGCTGCAGCCGCGGTACCTGCAGCCGCTGGTGGCCGTGCAGTTCACCAACCTGACCTACGACGTGGAGGTGCGCGTGGAGTGCAGGGCCTACGGGCAGAACATCGTCTACAGCGACAAGGACCGCTTCCAGGGACGCTTTGATATTAAATTCGACATAAAAAGCAGCTGATTGTAAGCACAACTCTCTTCCTCCCCCCTCCTCCTCCTAGCCATTTAAAAAGGTTAAAAAAAAAAAAAAAAAAAACCAGAACAAAAAAGAAAACCTACTAGTCTTGAACAAACTGTCATACGTATGGGACCTACACGTAATCTATATGCTTTACACTAGCTTTCTGCATTTACTAGGTTAGAATGTAAACAAAGTGTAGCAATAGCGACAAATATTTATTCTACTGTAAATGACAAAAGAAAACAAAATTGAGCCTTGGGACATGCCCATTTTTACTGTAAATTATGATTCCATAACTGACTTGTAGTAAGCAGTGTTTCTGGCCCCTAAGTATTGCTGCCTTGTGTATTTTATTTAGTGTACAGTACTATAGGTGCATACTCTGGTCATTTTTCAAGCCATGTATTGTATCTGTTTTCTACTTCTTGTGAGCAAAGACTTTTGCTGTCCAAGGTGTAAATACTCAATGGGACTAGAACTGGCATGAAACTTCTCATTATTTTGTTCCTTTTCAAAGAAAGGCCCACCTGTGAGACGATATTTAACAGCACTCCATAAGGCTTCTGGCTTTTCTGTGGTGTTAGGGTATTTTATTTGGAGGGGTGGCAGGGAAACTAACTTAAGTGAAGTTAAAGAGAATAGGTGATTGTGTACTGTGCTTTGTAGCGAATGCTGTCTCTCTCTCCACCTCTTCCCTTATCCTCCAGTATGTTGTGTGAGAGATTGGGTCAGACTATCACTCTCCCCAGTGATAGGCATAACTCTTTGCTTTGTATATTTTCTTTTCTTTTTTCTTTTTTTTTTTTTTTCCTGCTGAAGGCATCGCACACTGTGGTGCTAATGTCTTTATTGAATGTTTTAGCCATTTTCATGGTGGAAGAATTTTATATTTATGCAGTTGTACAATTTTATTTTTTCTGCAAGAAAGTGTAATGTATGAAATAAACCAAAGTCACATGTTTGAAAATAAAAATTTATTTTAAACTTTATAAAAGCAATGCAGTACCCCATAGAATGGTGTTAAATGTTGTCTAAAGTGCAAAACTCTATGTTCTAACATGTAATAATAGCCAGGAGTACAGTGCTCTTGTTGATCTTGTATTTCAGTCAGGTTGAAACATTGGACAAATAAATGAATGAACACACAGTTCTGTGTGCGTGTCTGTTGCAGTTGGTGAGGATGGAGCCTGTTAGTTGTCCAGAATCTTGAAGAAGTACTGCACCTGTTTCAAACAGAAAATGCATCTTTATCATCCTTAGATGGTCTCAGCACAAGGGAGTTGAAACATTTGAAACACCTGAAACACTGAGCTGTTACCCATCAGTGCTGGTGTCTGTTACTTGTTTTCCCTACCCCCAATGAAGGGCTGCTGTGGCACAGGTGCCTGTGCCCCTCCGAATCCCAAAAAGTCTCTTCCCCATTACTGCACAGGTTCCCCCTCTGGAGGCACAGGCTCTTGTGTTCCATACACAACACAACAGACAACCATCAGTCCTCAGCACAGGTTAAAACTTCCAGCAGCCAGAAGGGAGGCTGCAGACTGAAGCCACAAGAGTTTCAGGGCAGCCACTTGCTCTGTGTTGCTGCTGGGCTGGTGGCAGAGGACAGGCTCTGCCTGCTGGCGCTGCTCAGATGTGACAAAACGTGGCAGCTGCCTTTGTGCAGGAGTCAGGCTCACTTTGTGCTGCATGACGCAGATTACCAGGGAGAATTTATCCATGTAAAGTGACAAAACAGGACTATCCTAGAGCAAGTGACTTGATAAAGACTTCCTAACTGGAACACACAATCCTGGAAAAGCAAGATGCTAAACTTTGCCATCTGCTAGAAGGAAGAGCGTGGTTACGGTATGCTGTGGTGGTTAGTGCACCCATTTAGCTGTTCCATGTTGTTCCCAAGGAGCAGGTGCCAGCAGAAATCACACCTTCAGCTCTTTCTTTTGCTGCTGTATGTTTATAGCAAGGATTTTAAAAACTGTGATGAAAGCCCTAAAATACTCCCTAATGGAAGCTCCACCTGCAAAAAGAATTGCAGGAAAGCAGAGCCATTTTGGCTCCCAGCAATTTATGGGTTCCTACTGCTACCATTTTCAGTGGGGAGTGGGGATGTTGTTGCATGGCTCAAGGTTTGGTAGGATCAACTGCCCCTACAATTCAGTTCCTAGGTGAACAGTCTGTGACAGAAAAAAACCCACAACAATAAAAAAACCCAAACCAACCAACAAACTAAAAAAAAATCCTAACTCATGGTTAGGTACTTTACTACCTTTTAATTCTCTGAGTGCAAAATCCAAGCAAGAATTTTTTAATAAAACTTTCTGGCTTATTCCAGGGATTGGGATGACCATTGTGGAAAACTTAAGGTGCCTGTGTTCGCTTCAGTGAGCAAATGCCAAAAAGGGCTCGTGTAACTTAGGAATTGCATATGAAATTAGGCAAAAAAAAACCTTTACCCACCATCCCTGCCCCAATCACTTTCTCGTCCCACATCAGTGAAAGCAGAATGGCTGCTCAGATCACTAATTAACCAGGCAGGAAGGGCAGTAGCTATCTCAGCCACATGCCCTGCAGCCGCCCACTGGAAAGACCCACCTGGTCCCAGGCTTCAGGACAACTCTGCTACAAAGCACCCCACGCCCCCAAAAGACACACCCTCCTCAATGTCCCTGGTCAGACATATCCCCTTTCCCCATTAGAAATGCTGCGTGATTTGTCAGACCTACTAGCTAAACAGCACTAGAAGAATGCATGATGGTTAAAAAAATTCCCAAACAACCAAAGTCCAAGAAAACCTCACCCCACCCCACCACAAGCAGGTGCAGACTCTGGCTGGGCACCCCACTTGCCCAGGGGCACCAGTGCTTTGGATACACAACAGCTTTGATATCAGAACAACCTTTCCCAAGTGGCACTGACACAGCCTTACTGGGCTGGGGCTGGTCAACAGCCCTGGGGACAGAGGGACTGCAAGGCAAGGCAAGGGCCTCAAGATGTGACATCTCACCAACCCAAATTAAAATGTGCATTGCCTTCAAGATTCTTTATTTTAATCTGTGCTCCATCCACCCTCCTCAGGAAGGCATCGCTTTCCTTGCTGCCTAATAGGACATTACATTATAAACTGCCAGTCTGAACATGATGTTCTTTCTGCCAGATTGACTCAGTATAGTTAAGTATAATTGTAACCATTAAAGTGAATTTTATCTCCCTTCTTGTTATATGGGACACCTGCATTTCATAAGAGAGACACACAAAAGCCCTAGTAAAATAAAAAGCAGAGAGAGAGACACACACACATATATTTAACAACTTAAGCCTTTAAGGCTGTGTCTGCACAAACACGTGCGCTAACGCGCACCAACTATCGATTTTACAGCTCTGAGCACTGGCACTTCTGGACTTCTGTTCCCAGCTTGGGCCAAGGGCAGGTGTCCAGCACTGGCCAGGCACAGCCCTTGGCATGGGTGGGGAGCTGTGCCAAGAGCAAAGAAAAAGGCCAAGTGCAGTGCAATCTGCTTCTTCCTAGGTAATAACTCCATGTCTACCCTCAGCCTGGGGTGCTGATACAACTGCTGCCACTACAGTCCCATTTCCCTGCCATGGGGTAGGTTTAATAGAGCTCAACTCCCAACCCTGCCTGGGATGCCTCAGCTGGAGCTGTATGGCCAGCCCTGGGATTTAAATACTGATCCACCCCTGCAGCAAACACTGAGACAGGCGAATGGCTGCCCAAGCCCAATGCCTGCTCACTTGCCACTAGCAACAAGAGAATTTGTGTTATTTTAGTCTCCAAAGGCCCCTTGGTTGTGTGCAACCAATTTTCCCAGGCTGAACAGAACAACCTCAGTTTACTTACAACCTTGTGCAAAACCTCTTCCTCCTCAATTAGCGTTTATTGGATTATTCAAGATCCACACCGACTGTACTGGCAAGGCTCAGACATCAGAACAAGCAACACTACATTTCATATGCTGCGCAAAACCAGGTGCCGGTATGTTCTCTTTATGTATAATTATCTTTATGTGGGTCAGCTGCCACCCAGCTCCCAGTAAAACCAGTTAAGAGATGGCATATCTGTGGTATGCAGGAAGGATCCTTCTCTCTAAGAACCTCACCCTTGGGAGCAGGGCAGTGCTGGACAATTACCATCAGAACTCAGTTACCCATCCTGTGACCACAGAGAAGAATTATGACTTAAGAGTCATGAGAAGAATCAAGACTTCAGAAGAACCAAGTTTTCAGCATTACCAAGGGATTTGGGGTGTCCCAAATCTTATGAGGCTCCAGCTGGAGACACCTTGAAGAACCCCCATTCTGAAAGCACCAGGTCCTTTTCCAAGGGGATGGACTTGGTAATAACTTGCATCAAGCATCCAGATGGAGGTTAGATACTCCAAAATATCCTGTATTTTAGGAAATACAGTTCCTCTCTTTCACAAGGTTTTGAGCATAGTCCAAACCACAAAAAGGAGAACTGTGCCAGTACAGAACATATGAACAAGCCTCACATTTGACCAAGGGCAAGGTCAGCCTTTGAGCCAAGGACACCTCTGATCTTTACAGTACCCAAGGGTGTCAGATGACAGAGCACAAATCCACACCAGGAGCTGATCTGAATCCAACCAAACACATTTTCCAGATGCCACCCAAATGCCTTCCCAATGATGCTAACATTCAGGTGTGCTCACTGTTTCCCAGGGATGAGACAGGACCAAATTTAACATCAGTACTCCCCTTGCATATCCCAGGAACCATCTACCTGCTTTGCAGTATGCAGCTATGCCCTCTCTAGCTCCTGCTCAGGGACAAATAGCAGTAATGCTCAGGAAGTAACAACGGGTGAATAACCGTGACCTTCTGGCTCTGACCCCATAAACTGCTTCACTGAGGAGGAGCTGAGAGCTGCTTCAGCTCCATGAAGTTTTGCTTCAGTCACACTCACTGCCAGCAAAACTCATGTTAATGAGGTTGGCTGCTCTCTCTGAGCACTGCCATGTGTTGCCACAAAGTTTCGGGAGCTAATACAGCAGGCAATAACAAAATCCAGTCTAATGCCTTGGCTGAGGCACAAGCAAGTATCATCTGAACAGTGTGTGCCCTAAGTGCACAGAAAGGCCAGGCAAAATTATAAAGAGGGAAGCAAATCAAGTGAGACAGACAGTTTTCCAAAGGAGAGGAAAAGATCTTAGTATTAACACCGGGCCCTGCACAGGCACAAAGTGTGCTGAAGATTCCAAGTGTAAGAATTACAGGCACTTAAAATTTAACTCATTTTGTATTGTTTTCTATCCAGAAAACAACACAAAAAGCATGATGAGAGGTGCCTGCTGAGCAGCTTTGGAGTCATAGCTTTTGTCTACAAGCCAGACCCAGGCACACCTTGGGCTGTAGCAGCACTCCACACAGGTAGAACTGCAGCCTCAAAGAAACCCCGGCACTGAAAGGGCGCATCAACTCTCATTCCCCTTGTTGCTCTGAGCTGGCAGTTTTTGGTAAGAGACCCTGTTAGTCTCCTTTATGGAGAGGCCAGGGGGCTGACAGGGTGACACACGAGCAAGAAAAGGGCTGAGTTCACAGATTCACTTCTCATCCATCACCAGAAAGGCGACAGGAATTTTCAGTCCTTCCTCATCTCTGCAGAACCAAAACTGGCAGCTGGGAGATGGAAGCCTTTTCTATCCCTGTATCCATTTAGAGCCTGTCAGGAATCTTGGTGCCTTCCATGCAGTTAGCTAGACAGACACTCACCAGCACTCTCTCCCCAAAACCACCACAACACTCTTATCTCCTTGGTCAGTGTAGGTATCCAGGCACATGATCCAGAGTTCTTGCTGACCCAAAGTTTCAGCATGAGTACACTCTTCCTAAACATTTAGGTCTGACAAATTTTTACATGTTACTTCAGTTTGAGGTCACAAGTAGGAAACAAAAAGCTTTCTTTGCCCATTAACATTGGTTTGTACATCTGAATGAACTCACCAATGCTGTTGGCAAGCACACTTGGTAACACCTAAACTACACTTGAGCTACAGTTCACTCAGCTGATCCACATGACTAAATCATTAGATTAACACACTGAAAGCCCCATGGATTCATACCATCCTTTCAGCCACAAGCACTCCAGAAAGAAAACTGGTTGTCAAAGAAGACAGTCTACTCACCTACTATTGTATCTGTTCTGAAAATTGTTATTTTCCCACACAAATCTGAAGAGGGTTTAGTT